ACCAACAACCCTACCCCTATTTGAAAAACAAATTCAGTTGGTCAAACAAAAATTAAAGAAACAGAGAATTTATGAAAATGATTAATTTATAACATACCAAACAAATCTGAACCATTTTTATGACTTTTTCTTGTTGGCCATGTTGCTGACAATGATGTATATAATCATGTGATAATTTTAATCTACAGAACAGGGGACTAGTTGGGCAAAAATCCTGCTCAGTCCCCTACCCAAAATCATAAATTGGTTGGTATCAAAAAAACAGAGAATTTAGGAAAATGATTATTATACAAAACAAACACTATTTTACAACTTTCCTCTTAACATCAGAGTCCAAATGCAATTTCAGGGCCACAAACCCTGCTATGGATTGCAACCTCCTACACTTGAAACGAGCTGCAGATTCTCTTGATATTCCACCAGAGTTGCGACATCTTGGTCACAGAGCCATCCTTACCTAGAGGTGGGATCATTGCAGGCAACTTTTTGACTAGTATGCCAGCGGTCATCTCTGGTCTGGGTGCTGTGAGGGAAGATTAGTGAAAGTGTCCTTGACAATTGATGCAGTCTCAGTAAATCTCAGAGCCACATCCCCCCCTGAAAATTTAACTACATCATTGTATCATCGAGGCACACTAGTCAAATTAGCCTTTGTGTACATGAGGAATGACTGTAAAGTGTTCAAGGCAGTGTGCATGCTTCAACGTCTGCTAATTCCTGATAATCAAACATTGCATACTTGAATTGTTTCTTTCTGCAACAGTCAGTCATGCTACCTTGACTTCTAATTATATAAATTATATAATAATATTATTAATATTAATAATGAATACAAAAAGCAAAATGCCAATCGTTCGTTGTTGATAAAGATCTTATTACCCAGCAATGATCTGCTCCACATTTTGATTCCAATTATAATATTTATATAAAATAAAAGATGCCACATTATTATATCAATACAAAGAAAAAGTACCTCTGATTAGTTATTAACACATCTTCTTTAGGAGACTCGCGTTTTGTCATATTGGACTCTGCGAAGAAATAAATTAATTGTTTTTCTAATCCAAAAAAAAAATCAATCACATCAACAAAAAAAAATTTTGGTACAACACCAAGTGCCAATAATAAATAATTAATGATGTGTTTGTTGATCAAATAAAATTTCTTTATTTTAAAAATAAAAAATAAAAAAATGCCACGAGACAAAAAATCAGAGGAAAGAAGAAATAAATGTTTATTATAAGGACGGTGGTGGTGGTTATCGTCCACCACTTGTCATCACTCTAGTTTCTTATGAATAAATGGTGAATTTTTTTAAAAAATTCTTTAAAAGGTATAATACATCTTTGGAAATGTCACCTTGTTAATCAAGAACATTATTGATTAAAACATATTTAAATGATTTGACAGATTTGTTGAATGGATCAGATTATTATGATGTCAAGATTAAAGTTGGAGAGGAGAATGTTAAAGCTTTCAATGCACATTATAACATCTTGAAAGCAAGATCTTCTTATTTTAAGGTAGCATTATCAAATAATTGGGTGAAAAGATCAGAAAATGAAGTAAATTTTTTTTTAATTTTTTTAATATATATTATAATAATAATAATATATAGTAAAAAAGATAATTTTGAATTACAAGTTTTCACTAATTTTTATTAATCTTATATATATTTGCAGTGATTTCTCCTGGAAAGTTTTCAATTTCATTGTAAATAATACAGTCAGGGTTCTTTCCAAATTTAGAATTTCCAAATATGTGATGATCGACGTGGCTAATGCAAAAAATTGATCAACAATAAATATTCTGAATTGAATAAAATTTAATTGAATGAAATGAACAAAACAAATAATTGAATAAACAAATAATTTGAATAAAAAACTCTAATTAAAGAATATCAAGAAAAATTATATATACATGTAAAAATCAAAAATTTATTGCTCATTCATGAACAAAATGATTAATATAATTAATATAATACAATGATTAAAGACTAGTGCCGTAATCCAAAAAAGGAAAAAGTATGGTTGCAAAAGTGGTCGCAAAGGTAATTGCAACCACTTTTTATATGCCGTAAATACAATTACTACCATCATCACAATTTACAGCACTAGTCTTTAACAATGATGGTAAATTGTGATTGAATCATTTCTTTCTGTTGTGTTGTTATTGTTATCTGACATTAAGGATTTGTTGATGATGGTGAATGAAAATGAAGTTGTTATTATCCATTATTATTGGTTTAAGCATGTATGTATGTCTAAAAAATAATTTAAAGAGAAATAAAATTTGATCAATTAAATGTTTATTGATAACATCAATTTGCAGGAAAAGGATCAAATTTCTGGGTTGGCAAAAAATTTAGAATTAAATAATCAATAAATTATGCATTGGATGATACTTATCTTATTATTACACAACACATGATTCAATTGTCTTCATATTTGCTACTGTTTTTTTTTAAATCATCTCTCTTCTACTTCACCATTGTCAGTCCCATTGTGAATATCTTTAATTTGTTGCAAAATCAATAATAATTCTTCTTTCTTTTTTGATGCAAGTCCTTTGAACTGTGGACAATTGGTTTCATTTAATGATCCAATTAATGATTGAATTATCAATATTAATTCCCTGTTTGACATTGAATTTTCTGATAATTTCTCTTCTTCTTCAAGAGTAATTGGTATGATGTGCATAATTCTTCTAGATGGCTTTATTGAACCTAGTTTTTCTTTAATGAAATCTATTCGATGAGCTTTAGCTGTTGAGCTAAATGATTTCATTGCCTCACTTAATTTATTGTTTTTATCCAAGCTTTCAAAGGCATAATTAGGTTCAGATGGATCCAAGAAACCAGTTTTCCTTAATTCTACTCAAAAGCACTGTGATTCTTTTCCAAAGTCTGGACATGAACAAGAACCTGTACTTTCATGATCAGCATAACCAATTGTAGAAAATAATTTCTTTCGAAGCTAGTGGTAAAAAAATTTTAAGTATAAAAATTTAAGTATAAAAAAAATTTTTCAATACAAATAATAATATTAATGATCACCATCAAAAACTTGATACAGTTCCTAGCAGCAATCTCCCAATGTTTTTGTGTAGGAACAGGTGGTACAAGTGCTTTTAATGCTTTATTCACCTCTTCAAGTATATCATCTAAACCCTGGTGTTGAGACATCTATCCAGACCTAGACACAACAGAATTTTGTTCAATGATCTGATGAACTTCAGGACAAAGGCGTAATTGTTGTTCTTCATCAGGCGTTTGCAAATCAGGTGTTTGCAAATATTTGAGGAAATTATCATTTGAAATTATTTGATTATAGTGTCCTTCACAAAGAGAATAATTTTCTAAAAACCCTATCAATAAAGATAATTCTGGAAAATAGTTAGTAAAACATTTTATACATTTCATTACCAAGCTTCCAGATACATGCCTCCAATGTTGATTAAGTTTGGTTTCGCATAATTTCAATTTTTTTTCAGAATATTTCTCAGTAAGAGCTGCAAATAAGCATGGCAAACTACTTGCTGATGAATTTGACACTGAAAAGTGTAAAAAAAATACAAAATTTTAGCATAAAAAGCAACAAATTTGGACTTCTAGTAGATAAATTCTCAATTTTAAGTAAAAGCATACTTTGAGTAAATTAATGGATTAAGAAAAACGTTTAGTGGATTAAGAAAGTAAAAGTTTAAAGGTATTTATTTCAATTATTATAATAAGGGTTTGTTTTTTAAAAAAAATTTTTTCCAAAGGTACAAAGTATCACGTTGGCTCGTTTGTAACATACAAAACATATATGAATTGATCAACAAAGTGGCATAAATTCTACTTCCAAATTTGGAAAGAACCCTAACTGTAATAGTGATAGTGTCACTGATTAAATTTGGGAGAGCGTATTTTAATTGGTGATAACAATTGTTTTTGTTTTGTGTGGATCAGAATGAATAGGGGATCAATGAATTGATTTTGTTATTAGCGAATAATTTTGGGTAAAGAAGATAAAAGTTTATTTAAATAAAATATTACTATTTTATTTATTTAGTTTTCTTAGTTGAAACTAATTAACTTATGAGAAAGTTACTTTACAAGTACATTGAATTCAAGCTCCTTATATAATTCAATTAATTAGTAATTCTAATATCCCAACATTGAGATATTCTCTCAATATTGAGAAGTTATCCTGAAATTGAGACGATATCTCAAAATTGTGCGGATATCCCAAGATTGCAAGGATATCCCAAAATCCCAAGACGATTCTTTCTTAAATAAGTTAAATAAATTACAAATAATTGAAAAACGTATTACGAAAGTAGATGTAACATAGATAAAATAATAAAATAAGGTTATAAAAATAGAAATAATTAAAATATAATAATAATAGTTATCAAAACTAACTACACTATATATATATGCACATAATCTATTAACATCATACAAATTCATCTCTACACACCATCTAAGGTTTCTGGTCCAAACTGTTTTCTCAAAGCCCAAACTAGTTTGGGCAATTTGGGCTTCTCAACACTTTTTATAAGCATGAACATTAAAAAACAATATGAATCAACTTGTTTAACTTAAACAATTTTAAAATAATTTTGCCCAATTTCGTCTAATAACAAAAAATAGTTTGGGCTTATAAAAAAATAATTTTTGCCCAAAGTATTTGGGCAATTTCGGTTACTAATAGAAGCAGTTTCGGCCAGAAACCTTAACACCACCATCCCTGACTATACAGCAAAAAAAAAATCAAGAAATCTTATAATTACAACTGAAGCCACTACATCTCAAACTATTATTGACACACAAAACTCTAATCAACTAAATATTGGCCTTGATTACAATAACATACCTAATAATGAACAAGTTGTAACCAAAAAAATAATGAAAGACCTGATAAGGCATGAGAATATTTTCAGAAAGGTGATTTAGTATCAAAAGGACATTGGAAGGCAAACTGTAAGTTTTGTGGATTACTGTTTAAAAAAGGATGTGTTTCAGATATGCAGGAACATATTGTAAAAATGTCACAAAAAAGGTTGGAGATTATTATAGTGCATTTGTAGCTTTGAGAGATGGTAGCAATGGTGAGCCTACACATTAAATACTAGTGCTGTAATCCGAAAAAGGAAAAAGCATGGTTGCAAAAGTGGTCACAAAGGTAATTGCAACCACTTTTTATATGCCGTAAATACAATTACTACCATCATCATAATTTACAGCACTAGTGCTTACTACACATCCAGTAGGAAAAAAGAAAAAGTAACTATTATCCAAATCAAACAAAGCTGACAGAACATCTAGATTTTGCAAATATTAACCCTGCATGTCAAAAATGTATAGATCAAGCACTAGTCCATTGTGGTTCTCAAGATGGATTTTTAAGGGTGATTTTTGAAGAGAAATGCTAAAATATCAAACAAACAGTTATTTTAATGAAAATTAAGGGAACTGGTGAGTTAGTAGGTGGATATATAATCCAGTATGCTAGAATAAGGAGGGTATGTTCCCAGATGAGGAAAATGAAATTTAAGCAGATAAAAGCTTCATTTTTAAGATAAATGAAAGGCAAATTGATGGCTTAATATTAAGTAGGGTCAAAAAACCTGAATGGGCAATTTGCCATCAATGTACAATTGTTGATTATACTGTTGGAAATATAGCATTTAATGAAATGCTAGTAGATTATCAAATAGTTAGTATAAATTTGGTTATGATGAATTTCATTAATATAGAAATTAATATTTAATTGATGATCTGTCTATGAATCAGAGAAATGTCAATCAATTTATTATGGAAATGCGGGGGAAATTTCATATTAAATGATTGGCAAAAAAAATCAAAAAATTGAATATTTTGAGTAAAAAATAAAAAAAAAACTATAGTATATATTAATTATTGCATTCATAGTTTTTTTTATTTAATAATAAACTCAAAAATAATAATAGGACTTGTCTTCCATTGTATTCGATCTCCCATCTAGGAGCATGTTACTAGATTGTTTGTTAACAACCATGCGAATACACTACCCAACAAGTCCTGTTTAACAAAGGTAATATTATTCTATAAACATAAAAAAAAATTGTTTTCGTTTTTCCTCTGCTTTTCAAACTTTTGATAATGAATATCAAAACCTTGCATTTAACCATATATCACAACAACAACAAAAAATTCCAAACAGTAATCACTGATCCTCATGATACATTTGAAACTTTATTGACCAGTATAGAAGAATTTATGGATTTCAAAGATGATGTTATTGGATGTTACTTAAAACTTGGGAATAGATGGAGTGAAGTGTCCTTAAATGATTCCACATTCATGGCATTCGCACCAGAAATAAAACATGTCAAATATATATTAACAACAAGTAAATACTATTTTTTATTAAATAAATTTTTTATTAAATATATATTTATTCAAAAATTAAATTGCAAATTTTATAAAAAGATGACAATAATGATGATGATAAAGATGAAGATGATGGTGACAATAAAGATGTAGACAATAGCAACAATAACGACAATAATAGCATGGAAATACAATAATATATATATTTATATATATCAATTTTTTTTTAATTAAAAAATACATTTTTGACTATGTCATGACTTTTGGTAATGGATGGAATTTCGAATAGTCTTAAACATTTCAAATAGTCATAAACATTTCAAATAATCATAAACATTTCGTATCACTTTTATTTTTTTATTAGAACGTCTAAAGCATTTTCTTTATTTATAAAAATTAATAAATGTTACACGGAAAAATCAGATTTTTTCAATACAAAAACTCAAAAAATCAACATATCATAAACAGAAAACTTTTTTCTTTACATAATTAATAGCAATAAAAAATACATAAATATGTTCTCTGAGATTTATTTTATTTGTATGCACAAAAAAAATTTATCTTGCAAGACAAAAGTATAGTAACTTTTTTTTATAAAAGGTTACCGATTAGTGTTTTTTTGGTCAATTTTCCCCCGCCGATCACTATATAACACTCACCGATTCATAGACGGATCGTCAATTAAAACTTTTTGAACCCCCCACATAATTGGATTTTGATGAAAATAAGCTGTAAAATCAATCCTCTTGTTGATATAATCAGTCCTGATGAAAGAAAAAAATTTTAGAAGAAATTTTCTTTGAATTTCGACAAGTAATAAAAATTAATAAATTTAATAAAAAAATTGAAATGTTGCGTGCATGATTTCATTGGTTATTTTCACTTGATTTTTGTGACACAATAATAGCCAATGATAGAATTTTTATCTATGCTCCAATGAGTAGGGTGGGATTTTGAATGATTGGCTGATCTGACAAATTCACCAAAACAATCTTTTGAAAAAATATAAAATATAAAATGAGTCCAATATTTGGAAAATATTTTAATGAAAATGAAAGATTATTAGATACAGAAGATTTTTATGATGTAAAAATATATGTTGGCGTAGAGCCAAACATCAAAGAAGTTCATGCACATGCATCCATTATATCAGCTCATTGTCCATTTTTTAACAATGTATTAAATGATACAACAAAAGAAAATGGGTATTATATTATTAAGGAAGCTAATATTAGTGAAAAATGTTTCAAACCTATTCTCAAGTGAGTTTAAAATTTTATTGATTTATTATTAATGATAATGATAATAATCTTAATAATTTGTTTATTGTTGAAAGGTTTTTATATACATGTAAAATTGAAATTGAAAATTATTCTGGAGCTGAAATATTAGAGCTATTAATTGCAGCAGATGAACTTGGTATTGAGTCACTTTATGAATATATTACAGAATATTTTATTGAAAATAGAAATGATTATATAAGTGAAAATCCAGTTAAAATTCTACAGTTGATTTATGCTAATGAAAAATTTAAGGAGTTAAAAAATATTTATTTAGATACATTTTGTGAATATAGCGAAGAATTATTTGAATCAAGTGAATTTAAATTATTGGAGAAACCAACTTTCTTGGAAATTCTCAAAAGAGAAGATTTTTCTGTTAATGAGATGGTTATTTGGGAAAATATTCTTAAATGGGGATTGGCAAAACATCCTGAAATCAATAATATCAATGTTGAAGATTGGTCATTACAAAATTTTGCAGATTTAGGCAACACATTAAAAGAATTTATTTCTCTAATGAGATTTCAGGACATTTCCAAAAATGATTTTTTTGATAAAATTGTACCATATCAAATGCTTTTTCCTAAAATTTTATGGAAAGATCTTTTACAGCATTATTTGGCTCTTGATAGACAAGAAACATTAAATTTTAATCCAACACTTGAATCATTGACAATCAATCAAAACTTAACCTTGCTTTTTGCAAGTTGGATTGATAGAAAAAATCCATCATATACCTCATTTAAGGAAGTCAGATATGAATTCAAACTTCTATATTGTAGTAGTAGAGATGGTTTAGATGCAAACATATTTCATCAAAAATGTGATAGCATTGACAAAACTCTTGTAGTTGGCAAAATTCAAAATTTAGAGCAAATAGTTGGTGGTTATAACCCACTTAATTGGAATGGAGGTGTTTTTAGTGGTATATTTAGTGGTATATTTAAAAAAACAACAGAAAGTTTTATATTTAATATAAGTAATAGGAAAGATATCAATACTGCACAAATTAGTTTTGTTATCAATAGTAATGAGGATGCAATCTATTGTAATTCTTCTCTTTTACCTATGTTTGGTGTTGATCTCTGGTTTGACACAGATAATGAGGTTGGTGGTACACCAAAGGTTTATAGTAACATCAATATAGTAAATGGTAAATTTGATGAATTAGAAGTTTTTCAAATAATTGATAAAAAATAATACAATGTTAAACTATTAATTTTACTTTATATATAATGAAAATTTAATAATTTGGGAATATTATTTAAAGGTTCCTTTTTTATTATAAACGTGTTATTGACCATTCATTTTTTCTTAAAGTAGATCTAACCCAAGTAATGAGGTTACAGAATGGGAACAGGAAATAATTAGATTATATTGCTTATGTTTACATTATAAAACAAATAAGCATAAAAGATATAAGCATCACTAATCTTGTGAATGAATTTCATCAAAAATTTGCATGTTGTTTTTACTCCCTAAATTTAAAATACAAGACATGGTCAAAAAATGATGATTTATAAGAACCCAATCTAACCAATCACATTTCCATTTTCGCTGATATTTTTTCCACAAATTCCACAAGTATGCTTGATGAAAGGTGGAGATACATCAATAAAACATCAAATAAAATCTGGTCCCTCAAAGATCAGTTGAGTAAAATGGAGCCCGTAATGTATTATGGAAACACAACAAGGGTTGCGGAACGTCGCAAGCTGTTTATGTAGTGCTATTTTTAGTTTAATTTGTGTAATGAAAATAGTGATACATAATTATTCTTTCACCCAAAATAAATATGATTCAAGTTAATTTTCTTTTTCACTCTTTAATTATTTCTTTTCATTATTTATTCATTCAATAAACAATGACTGATGTTAATAATAATAAAATAATGAAAATTCCAAAAAGATTATTTGATAGACTATCATCTGATTTATTACAAGTTCTTGAATCAACACAAAATTATGATGTTCTAATAAAAGTGGGTGGTGGTGACAATCTTTATGCTGAAGATTTCAATGGAAATAATGGCAATGATTTATTAGAAGAGGAGTTCATGGTACATTCTTTATTATTGTCCGCTAGATCTCCTTATTTTCGTGCAGCTTTGTCAAAAGATTGGCAAAAATTAGATAGTGAAAGAAACAATCTAATCGTATTAAATAAACCAAATATATCTCCAAAAGTCTTTAAACTAATTCTAAAGTAATCAATATTTCTTTTGCAAAAAAAAATTATTATTTTTGTTTTTTTTTTTCAATTCTTAAATTAATTTCCGATCTCAAATTATTTTCTCACAACTTAATAATTTATTATATAGGTATATTTATACAGGAATACTTGATTTCAGTGATCAAGAGATAGTAGATATTTTGGACTTACTGGTTGCAGCAGATGAATTGATATTGGATGAGTTAATTGAACATGTACAAGATTATTTGATCCAAAATCAAGCTAATTGGTTACAGCAAAATATAGTAAGAGTTTTGCATACAATATTTCAACATCAAACTTGTAAAAAGTTGCAGGATTATTGCCTTGAAATAATTTCCAATGATCCAAAATTTTTGTTTGAATCTGAAGATTATTTAAAACTAGAATCAAATATTTTAGTAGCTTTGTTGGAAAGAGATGATTTGGAAATGGAGGAAATTGAAATTTGGGATTATATGATTAAATGGGGTATAGCTCAATTCAGCATTAATAATAATAGACATAATAATAATATTATTAGTAATGAACTAATTGTTGAAAATTGGGAAAGAAAAAATTTTATTGAGTTGGAAAAAACATTAAATAAATGTATTCCTCTAATAAGGTATTTTCATATTTCAGGAGATGACTATTTCAAAAAAGTTTTTCCATTTAAACGTATCCTGCCAAAATCATTGAAAAAAGATATTTATGGCTATTTTTTATCAGCAAATTATCGACCAAAGTCGATAATTCTACCACCAAGAATTTCACCAATCGATTCTACCATAGTAACAAATAAACATGCTTCAATGATTGAATTTTGGATGCAAAATCTTATTAATAGTAATATTACTATTGGTACCACCATCATTAATAACAGTAATCCAATCAATCCAATTACTAATCATGGTACACATTCAAAACGTCTAGATTATGATTGGAATTTACTGTTTAGAGCATCAAGAGATGGATTTACATCAGGTGATTTTCATTCAAAATGTGATAACAAAGGAAGTAGCATTGTATTGATAAAAATGAGAGGTCATCCTCAAATAATTGGCGGGTATAATCCAGTTGGGTGGTACACATCAAGATGTGGATACCATCCAACAGAAGACAGTTTTATATTTTCAATGAATTTTGACGAGAACAATAATTTTGATAAATGTTGTAAATTAAACAGAGTGAAAAATTCTAATTTTGCAATCTATCATGATCCATCCAGAGGTCCAACATTTGGATATCCAGATTTAAGTATTAGTGATCGGTGCAATGAAAATTCCAGATCAAATTATGAGCCAAAATCTTATTACTCACATAATGACACTACACAAATTCCTTCATTCTATGTTGATGACTATGAAATATTTCAGGTAACAAAATTTATTTAATAACTATAATTAATAGATTGATTAATAATTAATTAATTGTTTATTTTCAGGTTATCAAATCCAAGAAAACTTTGTTCAGTTAATTATTCAATTAATCATCGGCCCCACCAGATGATTTCCAAGCACCAAGAATTAATTCAATGACTTCAGGTATACCAACACCATTTTTAACTTGGGTGAACACAGTTGGTCCACTTTCCCTATAAATATGTTTTATAATCATTGACCGTTAACAATTTTGTCAACAATCAAATTAAATGCAAACATTATCATTGATTTACCTCATTTTACGTGCATCTCTTTCCATTACTGATAGATCGGCACCCACTATCTCTGCTAAATCAGTTTTATTAATAATCAATAGATCTGATTGAGTGATACCTGGTCCTCCTTTACGGGGTATCTTATCACCACCTGCTACATCAATAACTATTTTATATTTAATTTTTATTAATTAGAATGTTTATACATGTAATTTTAGTTATTTAATTTATTACTATTCATTACAATATATTTAAATAAAAATAAGTTTAGATTTTTTTCTTACCATAAATGATATAATCTGCCAATTCACGCGAGTAATTTGCTATAAAGAAATTTAAATCAATCAATCAATCACATCAGAGAATATATAATACATGCTCTGACCGCCCCACCCACATATATATATTAAATATTATTACCAGCTAAATTATCACCTCCACTCTCGATCAACAATAATTGAGTGTTGAATTTAGCATGTAATTGTTCCAATGCATTCAAATTAGCCGAAATATCTTCACGTATTGCAGCATGTGGACATCCACCTGTTTCGATGGCTTTGATACGTTCAGTTGGTAATGCCTCATTACGTACTAGGAATTCGGTATCCTCTTTCGTGAATATGTCATTGGTAACTGCTGCAATTGAATATTGGTTTCTTAATGCTTTACATAATGCTAACATCAATGCCGTTTTTCCTGACCCAACTGGTCTAAACAATTGATAAAATTTGTAGGATGATTAATATAAGAGTTGTGACTTTGATTGATAGATTGATTCTAATTTTAAGTTTTAATTCTAATTCTAATATAATTCTAAATTTATAAATTAATAATAATAATTGAAAAATATCACTTACCCACCAATTCCAACTGTGAAAGCTCGCTCTTTCCAATTTCTATTTTCAATTTTTGGCAATTCTCGTTCTGTATACTTTCCAGGATTTTCTAAATGTTCATGTGTATGCCCATGATCTCCTCCCGCTCCTACTCCGCCATGACTATGTTGTGGTCCACTTTCGTCATGTGAGTGAGAATGGCTATTGTTATTATTATCAGTATTTGACATATGGTCTTCGAAACGACAAACTTCTTTTTGTGAGCTCATTATTATATTATTAATAATTTATAAATTTTAGAAATATTTAATTGGTAATAAATAGTAAAAGAAAAAAAAAGAGCAAAGAAAAATTTAAGAATATTGATCTTACTAAAATAGTATTACCCATAAACTAAATTGCCATTGTTATTATCATCATTATAATTGGTCAAAGATAATCAATCATTTAAATGAGGGGTGGGAATAGAAGACATTGTTATTCGTGATTCATTACATCTCATTCACTGCATTCTCCTTCCATTCATTCATCCGTTCATTCACCCATTAATTAATCAATTTTCTTATACATAATGAGCGAAATGAAGTAAAAAATCTCGATCAACCTATCTCTTATCATCTTATCAATGTGGTACACACACATTTTTAAAAAGTGTGAAAATTTTTTAAATTAATGTTTTTATCATTTCACATTATTTACATTATTTAATATTTAGTCATTTAACAAATAGCTCAAAAAAAATCTATATTTTAATTAATAATGAGATTGGTACCTCGAGAGCTTGATAAACTTGTTCTTCACCAAGTTGGTTCCTTAGCTCAAAAACGTCTTGCACGTGGAGTAAAATTAAACCATACAGAAGCCACCGCTCTCATTGCCTCTCAACTATTGGAATTGATCCGTGATGGCAATAATTCTGTTTCAGATTTGATGAACATTGGCAAACGAATACTCGGGAGACAACATGTTCAGCCTGATGTTTTGGAAACTTTGGTCGAAGTGCAAGTTGAAGGAACTTTTCCCGACGGCACTTATTTGGTTACTGTCCATGACCCAATCTCTTCTGATGATATTGACTTGGGATTGGCTTTGTACGGAAGTTTCTTACCGATTCCTGATAAATCTAAATTTACTCGACAATCAACAAAAGTTAGTAAGGAAGATAAAGATGTTGCTCCCGGCGCTGTTATTGTTAAACCTGGTAAAATTATTTTGAATGAAGGTAGAGAAAGAGTTGCTGTAAAGGTTACAAATACCGGTGATAGACCAATTCAAGTAAATATATGCATTGATAAATTTTTTTATTCAAAGTACTCACGTGACTATTATGATGACCAATAAAAATAACTCTGATTTATAATCTTTACACATATTTATATAGGTTGGGTCCCATTATCATTTTATTGAGACGAATCCAGCATTGAAATTTGATAGGGGTCAATCATATGGTAAAAGACTTGATATACCAGCTGGATCAGCTGTACGTTTTGAGCCAGGCGAAACAAAAACAGTCACATTGGTATCAATTGCTGGATCGAAATATATTAGTGGTGGAAATGGAATAGCAACCGGAAAGGTTGATTTGTCAAAAATTGAATCAATTGTTGAAACTTTATTAAATAAAGGATTTAACCATAGCCCACAACCACAACTTGCTTCATCATCGTGCACCCCATACACTATTGACAGAAGAGCTTATTCTGATATTTTTGGTCCAACAACTGGGGATAAAGTTAGATTGGGTAATACTAATTTATGGTTGGAGATTGAAAAGGATTATACCAAGTATGGCGATGAGTGTAAATTTGGTGGTGGCAAAGTGTTGAGAGAGGGTATGGGTCAATCAACTACCATAACTGACAAGGATGCTTTAGATTTAGTTATAACTAATGCTATAGTTCTTGATTATACTGGAATTTATAAAGTAATTATATTATTATTTTTATTTTGTTGGAGAGGAAAATATTATTTTCGTTAATAATTTAATAAATTTTTCATATTTGTAAATAAGGCTGATATTGGAATAAAGAATGGATTAATTGTTGGTGTTGGTAAAGCTGGTAATCCTGATGTTATGGAAGGTGTGACACCTGGAATGATTGTAGGTGCTACTACTGAAGCCTTGGCTGGTGAAGGTCACATATTCACAGCTGGTGCCTTGGATGTTCACGTTCATTATATTTGTCCTCAATTAATTCCTGAGGTAAACCTATGTTTCTTAATATTAATAATTTAATAATTTTTGTATTAATTCATTAATTGACACATTCTCACGTACATATTCTCTTCCTCTTTCTCTCACATTTATTACATATAGGCAATATCATCTGGTATTACAACATTAGTAGGTGGAGGTACAGGGCCAAATACTGGTACCAATGCAACAACATGTACACCGGGGCAACATCATATAGAAATGATGCTATCTGCAACAGATGATATGCCAATTAATTTTGGTTTTACTGGTAAAGGTAATTCGTCAGATCCTGTTGCTTTAGTGGAGCAAATCAGAGCAGGTGCTATGGGATTGAAATTACATGAAGATTGGGGTACAACACCTGCTGCCATTGACACTTGTTTAGCTGTTGCAGAAGAATATGATGTCCAGGTATATAAATAATATATATATCATAATAGTAATAATAGTAATCATATATTAATATTGTTAATATTTATTACTAGGTAAATATTCATACAGATACACTCAACGAGTCAGGATTTGTAGAGAATTCAATAGAAGCCTTTAAGAACCGTACAATTCATGCATACCATTCTGAGGGAGCAGGTGGTGGACATGCACCAGATATTATCAAAGTATGTGGTGAACCAAATATTATACCATCATCAACCAATCCAACAAGACCTTATACATCAAATACACTTGACGAACATGTTGATATGTTGATGGTTTGTCATCATCTTGACAAAAATATCCCAGAGGATATTGCATTTGCTGAATCACGTATAAGAGCTGAGACAATTGCTGCCGAGGATGTTTTACATGATTTAGGAGCTATTAGTATCATTAGTTCTGATTCACAAGCTATGGGTAGAATTGGTGAAGTGGTGCTAAGAACCTGGAAGACTGCTCACAAAATGAAATCCCAAAGAGGTAGATTAGGTGATGATAATGATGGTCAGGCTGATAATTTCAGAATTAAAAGATATGTTGCCAAATACACCATCAACCCGTAAGTATATAAATCTTATAATTATTAATTCTTTTTTTTTTTTTTTTTTTTTAATATAAATTTTTAATTTTTATCTCTTGAATGGGAAATATAATAAAATATATGTAGTGCTATCGTGTGTGGTATAGGACATTTGGTAGGATCAATTGAAGTTGGAAAAGTAGCAGACTTGGCGATGTACAATCCAGCATTCTTTGGTACAAAACCAGAAATAGTTATCAAGTCAGGTGTAATTGTTTGGTCACAAATGGGTGATGCAAATGCCTCGATCCCAACAACTCAACCTGTTATTTCAAGACCAATGTTTGGTTCATATGGATCAGCTGCAGCCAAAAATTCATTTGCATTTGTTAGTCAATTGTCATTACTTGAATCAACAGTACCACATTATGGTTTGAAGAAGAAGATTGAGGCGGTGAAGAAGTGTAGAAATATTGGTAAAAAAGATATGAAATTGAATGATTATTTGCCAAAGATAGAGGTTGACCCAGAAACTTATGTTGTTAAAGCTGATGGAGTTGTATGTTCCTGTGATCCTATCAAGTATTTACCTTTAACTCAATCTGTTTATTTGTTTTAAAATTTTTTTATTTAGTCGCTTGATAAAAATATTTTTCATTCTTTTATTTTTTTTCTTTTATATATATTTTTGTTATTAATTTATATATTTATTTGTATTTATTTTTTAAAATTTAAATTTGGTCAATGTTAAAAATAAAATCAAGAATTTATTTAAAATTTATTACATTAGTTTTTACCAATTAATTACTTGAAAAGCTTTCATTTACTAATGTTATTATAAATAGTTGATTTACTATAAAATATTACCACCACCATCAAAAACAGGCAAATTATTAATTACGTTTACCTATGTTAAATATAAAATCATTTGTCTTTTATATCCATGGCCATTTCAATCAAATGAATTACTAATTATTATTCAATTTGAGTTTTGTTGATATATTATATTATCACGTTTTTAGTTGCATCCAAACTATAAAAGTCAAATTTATATTTAACTTTACTGAATGAGTTAATTTCATGGTAGGCTTTTTCTATCAATCCAATTTACAATAAGCTTGTTGTTGATTGTTGTTGATTCAAGCATTGATTCAAATTTTGGGACTTCTTGATGGTAATAAATTTAAAATTTGTTGTACTGTGAAAGGTTATTCCAAAATAACTTTGGGGAAAAAGTATTTGACAATTTTCTCATTAGAAGAAATTGTATAGAAAATTTTTTGATTCTTTAAAATCATTTTCATTCCACTTGGAAATATTTTTCTTTAGAATTTTCTTGATCTCCATTGGAAGGCACATCAATTTCTTTCTAAGAAAGACATAAACAATGGTTTTCAATACCTTTGAAATCATTGGATTTTAAGGACCATCCTGAGCCACCGTTGATTAATCTTTCAAGTATACCAAATAGTAATTAGATACATTGATGAAGATTGAAACCTAAATTGAGTTGAATCCAGTTTTTTTTCCAATAATTAAATGGCTTTGTAAATCATCATATGATGATGATAAAATAATATAATGGTAAAATTATTTGATCGCGTCGTGTCACATGTCGTGGATGGCGCAAATGTATATTATTAATATAACATATAATGGGAGCCTTTCAATATACAGTTAAGCCTTGATAAGCTGAACTTTTGGGAATCACACGATATAAATTCGGCTTATAAAAATTCAGTTTATGATGATGATTTACAATTATTTATAATTACACATCTAAACTCGATAAGTCGGACGCAGCAATCAATTGTTTAAAGTACTTTATAATATAAATAAATGTCCGACTTATCGAGTTTAGATGTGTAGTATGAATATTATTTTACTATTAAGGTAATTATAAATTGAATTTTATCATTATAAGAATTATAAGACAAATTTTAACAAGATAATTTATTTATTACGTTTTTGGTTAACCAATTTTGAATTGTCATAAAGCAAAAACCAGTTTATATATAGTAGTTTGGCTTGAATTGAAAATGATGTTTTGAGAAAATTAAAAAAAGATCTACATTTCAAACTATTGTTTTGAACAATTTGAACAATATGCAAGAGTGAGTATATGTAGTTTCTAAGCCAAAAATGGTTCTACGTGAAGAATATTATATATCAGAGTAGTATTAACTTGAGATTACATTTTTCATATGTTTCTATTGAAAATTTCCCATATACGTATAGCAAAGAATTATTATTACAATACAAACGGAGCTTGAGAATGATAACAATTGGAGCCACTGGATATGGTTATGACAATGATCATGGCAGCAACGAACCCACATGGAAGGGATGAGTCCAACGTTGCAATCAAAGATAAATGTTATAAGCATATTGACTCATCAAAGGTTTCGATGGAGTTTGAAATGTGCCACCCAATCTCCAATGATTACCTGGTCAAGACCTCCGAAAGCATACAAAGAGGGAGGGATCCAGATAACCTATCTTTCATTTATTAATATTTTCAACAGTGGAATAATCATCACCGAATCAAACACAGAAAAAGATAGGGAAAAGCCCTTGCTGCCTCCATAAGAACAAAAGTAATTGGCCAATTTGGCCCATTCAGAATGTCATGTACGAATTATAAATTTACCTAATAAAATTTTACAATCAAATAACTCCTAATTCTCTTGTTGTGTAATAACCACCACACTAAATTTAAAGTCAAATTTTGCCTTTATATTCATAAATGTAGAAATTTTTTTTAGCATGTCCAATTACAAACAAAAGTAGAAACCAATGTCCAAATATTACATTATTATGAAATATTTAAGATTTCGATCACTTATGTATGTCCTTTATAGTAAAATGATTGAAGTGATAATATTATATAGATATCTTTTGATGATAAATGTAATTAATAATGATTAAGCAAGAAACTATAATGATACTGAGGAAATGGAGAAGAAAGATGCGGATATGTTGATTTTTTGTATATTATTTATTAAATTTACATGGTATTTTCATCACCATTTTCATATTTATTTCATCAACTAATAAACTATTGTCCAATTACAAACAAAAGTAGAAACCAATGTCCAAATATTACATTATTATGAAATATTTAAGATTTCGATCACTTATGTATGTCCTTTATAGTAAAATGATTGAAGTGATAATATTATATAGATATCTTTTGATGATAAATGTAATTAATAATGATTAAGCAAGAAACTATAATGATACTGAGGAAATGGAGAAGAAAGATGCGGATATGTTGATTTTTTGTATATTATTTATTAAATTTACATGGTATTTTCATCACCATTTTCATATTTATTTCATCAACTAATAAACTATTATTAATAAGATTAACTTTCTCTAATCTATATAGAATTTTACATCAGAGACAATACCTTTTTTGTAAAAGTCCAAGAATATTCTTTTTGTTGAAACAGTATTGAGTTAAGTGAATGAATGATAGCAAGGGTTATATTTTTCATATGTAACCATTAGTTATTTTACATAACAATACACTTTAGGTTTCTACCCTGTTGTAAAATTTTCAATCGCTCAAAAATTCCCAAAGTTGAATTATTTCTTATAAAGGCTTTATGTTAATTGATAACGGCATTGGATTAAGTGAATGAATGGTGGCGGGCTTGGATGTTTTATATACATCCATTAGTTATTTTTACATAAGAATACACTTTAGGTTTTTAACTTACTGTAAAATTTAAATTCAATTTGTAAATGGTGGTCAGTTTAGTTGGTGAAATGAGTTGTCAGGAATCGTGCCGTATTCCTTATAATGATATAAATATAGTACATGGTGATAAAAACATACATTATATTACTTGATAATGAATTTATTATATATATAATTAAATTAAGTACAAGGATTTAAAATATTCGCAAAAGTTGGTCGTCTATCAAGAGCTCTGTTTTTGCACGTCAAATAAAATTTTCTTTTTTTTTTTGAGTGATACAAATAAAATTCAACTTTATATTTGTCTCGTCTATTATTTCCTAACGTTTTTGCAATGTAATTAGCACGATTATTTGCATAAGAATTGATTATGTTTATTTCAACATGGGAAAGCGGGCCTCCAATTTTTATTTGTAGGGAATTTTCTACCCGATGATTTGATTCGTGCGAGTTTGCTTTTATGCGAGTCGAAATAATTTTTGACTTGCAATTGTGTGCGGTTCCGGAGGAATCATTGCCATTTCTCCAAGCTAATATTCTGATTATGTATCTTTCCCTTTTGGTTAATTTGTCATGATTTACTAAAATAATAATAACAATATGATAATAATTTGATTATTTATTTTAGTTGAAAAAATTTTATTGGAAAAGAAAAAAAGAAAGCATTTTATTAACTGTTCGGATCCAAGTGATTAACATATCTGAAGAAAAAAGAAGAGAAGGGAAGAAATAAAAACTTATTAATTAATTTAGAAATAAATAAATAATATATATTAAATATTTAACTAACATTAATAATAATTAACAGCCAATTATCTCTCAACAAATTTCACAAGAGTCAATAGAGTTCATTTCCTCGGCTATCTTTGACCAATTTGATTCATGAATTGTGTATATACAACCTTCCAATTTGTTAGTCTTGCTATTTAATTAACAAAAGAAAAAAAATAAATAACCAAAAATTAAAAACTAGAATTAAGTAAATTAATTTTCTATGGGAATATTACTTTGAGCGTCACTAATGTCCTTCTTGGGCTTCGTTGTTTCTTCGGGAGAAGTTTTTTTCCTGGTTTGATGACATCTATTTTTGCACAAACAATATTTGAAAAAAAAATAAAAAATAAATAATAAAATTATAAATTATAGTTAAAATGACTAACCATCAACCAAATATTTCATTTTCTGGCCCTTACCTCTCTTAAAGCATTTAATTATAAAGAAATAAAAATATTATTTGTTTAATTAGCATATTAAAATAAAAATCTCTAACTCGTGTAACAGACTGTTTTTTAATAATGAATATCTTTTCATAAATCCACGACTATTCAAAAATGGTGTTAATTTTTTGTTTCGTAGCTGAGATTATTTTCAGTATCGCTTTAAAAGAATTGATAGTAGATGTAAAATATCCCAAGCCTTCACAATGTTATTACTTTATGAGGGTGTTGGTTAATAAGTTTTAGAGAGGTTCATGAAAAACTATTTTATGGAAATTTAATAGTCATGTCAAGAAGTTTATGTAAATTTGATTCAGCAGAAAAGAAATTAAAAAAAAACCTATGATTTTACAAAAGAATTATTTGTTCATGTATTTAGGATGTAATCATTAAAATATTATTAATATTATGACATTTATTTCAAAGGTATCAATGGGAGCTAAAGATGAAAATGATGAATTAAATTTATTAATGAATAATGAGAATTCTTAACCCAATAAAATATGATAGAGTAGTTATGCGATAATCAATTGCTTCATATTCATTTATCCTCCCTCAAATAACTCATATATTAATATGATTTAAATTTTCAATTCCCATTGGAAAATAAAATAGAACTGAACCAGTTCAAAACAAGTAATTCCTCTTTGCATATCCAATATATCCAATTCGGTCTCTTTTGTGTTGAAAATCCTACTGATCCAGTTTCGAAACAAGGAATTCCTCTATATCTATCCAATTTCAGTCTCTTTGTGAAAATATTTTCCAATTCTTTGTATTATCAACCGCTTCTTCTTCTACTTCTACCATTACTACTCTCTACTAAAAGGCAAGTCTTTTGTTTCTTGTTCTTGTTAACGCTGGTTTTCTTTTTTTTATTTTAATTTTTATTTATCAAGGCCTTGAATCTACTTGGGTCCTCACTTTGAACATGTGTTCGAAGGAGTATGGCTATGACCCTGAATATAATGCTGCATCCCTAAAACATTATGTTTAGAGTTGGCATAGTATGGCTTTTCATTAATATACGTACTTCACTTCTTCATGAACTTTTAATTTATTTATTTTATCTTTTCTTTCATCCTTCCGTGAAAAAGTATCGATCCCTAAACTTGTTTTAACCTTTTTTTATATTTAGATGACTCGCAGACGACATGCGCGCACTCCTGCAGCTATTAGTCGTCGTATAGAACAACATCGCTTGCGTCATCGAGCACTTAATCTTCAAGGTAGTGTAGTGTAAGACGATATCTTGTTTTTATTCGAGTTAGTATCGTTTTTGTTTTTTTTTTTTGCATATATACACACCCTAGACAAAAGTTTTCGGACACCTGTTTTTACTAATTGCGCAAAACTACACATAATAACTATAC